TACAGTTTATTGCACGTATTACCTTCCTTATGAAATTTTTAAATTACTGTTAAGGCTGAATATTCCTTGGTATATTTAAGTATATTTAACATTTAAAGAAAATTAAGAAGGTTGGTCATGGTCAATTTTAGCAAGATTAGCATATCAAAAATCTTTCTTCGAAATTGTACATGAACAGCTCTAAGAATTATAGTGGAAATAACGGTTATCAAAATATTGCTTTTTTACCTTTATTTCATTCTTATTTTTAATATTAAATTAGTTTGAAATATATTTAAAATTTATTTTCGAACTATGGTAGTAATAACCCATTTATGTTTCTTCCTACATCCTTTAATTACATAATGTGGGTACTATTAGTAGTTATATATATATATAATGGTATATCCATAAAGGAATACATTTTATATAGTAGGTAAATATATTCCTATTTATTATAAAACGGTTACAAAATAAAATATTTACAATTTATAAAACATATAACCCCATAATCAGAAGTTAATGGACATGACGTTATTAAAATGTGTAATGTCAGACCTAAATCACACCGTTTTATATATCTAACTTCATTATATTCCTCGGGCGTCCCTTCGCAATATTCCGTAGATGTAGGTAAGTTATAAACGACAGGATCAACCACATCGATGCTTCCCATCTTACATAGTTTGTGCCAGGGATGACAACTTTGAAACACTTAACCTGGTATGGAAAAATAAAATATATATTTTTTTTATACTACGATGGCGACAAACAAACATTGAGCCGTATGCTTGTTTGCAACCATCGTAGTATAAAAAAATATAATTTATGATAAACAATTATCGTAGTCTACAAATACCTGAAACACCAGGAGTATCACATGCGCCTTACCGACATCAAAAAAACCTTAATATACCCTTCTTGAAAAACCCCATGCTGTAATCTCTCGAGCCTAAAACTAAAACCACGGCAGGTAGTTTATTCCACAATCTAAGTGTACATAATAGGAAATTCCTCGCAGATCCCAGTCCGATCTATATTCAGTAAAAACGATGCGAAGTCTCGCCTCAAACTAAGTGGTTCCGCCTGCCTACTTGAAAGATCGGGATCAGCTACAATTCTCATAACACGTCTCTGAACCGATTCAAAAGGACCAAACTGGTATCCAGATGCTTCTGCTCAAATATGGGAGCAGTACTCCATATGCGAGCGCCTGTGACTCGAGGATGAACGTATCGTCGTACCAAGGCTAAAAATCTCGTATTTGCACGAACACCCTAGTATGGTTGGCATCCCTGGTTCGTGCACTAACGACGTCCGTTACTCGCGCATTTGTCTAGATTATTGACTAGAAATTTTACACCACTGCGAAGGCGACAATATCCTACTAATATTATAAATGTCAATGTTAGTGAGAATAGATAAAATTATGATGATTGCTACTCTTTGACGCAACAAAATAAATAAATGAAACAGACCATCAAGCTACTCTGGAGTCAAATCTAATTGTCAATTTTTACCCCAAATCATATTTACACGGCTCTTTTTAAACGTAATGAAGACAATAATAAATTGATAACAATGTCAGTCCTTTCATTGACCACTAAATATGGAATTGGTTTCAGAATTAGTTTAGGAAGTAGATAACCATATATTAATACATGAATTTTTTATCCAAATCCACATATACATCGAGTACTATAAGACACGAGTAGTTTTAACGAAATCAATAAAAATAACTTAATAGGAATTATTACTTATATTGCTTAAATTACCAGGATTTATTTAGAGGTATGATAGAAGGGCTAATCCGTCTAGTTTAAAGGTACTGTTCCTATAAATTACATACCCTTTTAGTGGTGAAAATTTCAACAATAACAAAGCATTATCTAGATTATTTAATACGTAATATTATAGAAACCACTGGCTCAGCTACGAGTTTCAACCGCATGAAATTTGTAGTTTATGTATTATCTTGATATATATAGTGTATTACTGTAAATTCATCAAAATCTGTTTAGTAGTTTTTGTGTGAAAAAGTAACAAATATCCATCCATCCATCTATACATCCATACTCACAAACGTTTGCTTTTATAATATTTGTAAGATAAGAAACTATTAAAATGGGCGACTAAGTATTACTTCATTAAAGTTATATTACCGCCTTGTGTAAGGCATTAGAACCTTTACTAAAGCTTTATAAGAGAAGGTAATGAAATAGCGCAACAAGATAATTATTATAATATTACATAACAATAGGTTCTCTTTTACGGGAACCGTGGACTGCAAAAAATTATCAATATTAACACACGCTTATATTTAATGGCTATTTCTGTGGATAAAAAATTCAGAAAATTAAGCATCAAAACATTCCAGAACCCAGTCCTAGAATTTTGTTTGCGAAGACATAGTAGTATCAGCGATTTTTTTTCTGTTATTGGAATGGCGTACCAATCGAGAGAACAAATCTGTCATGCATCTTAACCTAATTAATAATGTAATATAATAAAACCTTTATTATATTATTAATTAGTGATCTAACCTACAACCGAAGCTAAGCAGAGTTTATATTATTGATCCTAGACAACTATAGGAATGCATAAATACATTTATTTTTGTAAATACATACGTAATTTATATAATAAACACCCAGACTAATACAAATAATTATACTTATGAATACAAATGTTTACACCATAAAGAATCGAATCCACGAACATTGGAAGCGAAAAGCATTTTGCTAAACCGTTATACCACTCAGTCCGTCATATTTCCCTCGGTATATTTGAAATCTAATTAAATAAATTGTATTAATGTAATGCAAATAACATCTAACTGGTCAAAGGATATATTATTATTATTTATGGATAATATATATATAAGAATATAAAAACATTATGAATATCATGTTCAAATCCCCCGTAGCAATCATGGTCATATTTAGGTCGACAGAAAATACTAGTGAGTAATAAAAAAGATTTTCTCTTCCACATTGTATAGTATGATTTGCATCACCTTACAATACCGCATTGCTTACATAATTTATGAAGCTAAGCGTAACATAAAAGAAGCAAAATTCAGATACCGTTTGATATTAAATTTTCTTATTGTTCAACATTGTTGTATAATATTTCAATGATTAGAAATGAATAAACTTCAGAGTGTGCTTTGAATTGTCTTTAGGTACATTTTATCTCTACGTTTTGAAGCAGATATTATAATTGCAGATAACAAGTAAACTTTTCAAATCTTTATTAATAGTGAATAACTTCAACGAAACTTTGATTATTAAAACTTTAATTATACAACACGTATTATACCTGTGTAGTTACACCAAGCTTTATGTTACTTTCTAACTTATCATATTTAATTACGTTTTACACCTTCAAGTGAAGAGAGAAAGTTCCTGTGAAATGTAGAATTATATACAAACATTTTATACGTCTAACATAAAGCCACCCTTGGAGAATGCAAGTAGTTTTTTAATGAAAACATTTGTAATTTGAGCAAGCGGCAGGAGTTTTGTTATATTTCAGAACAAAACAAATAATTTAAGATTATTTAGTAAAGAAAATATTCGCTTCATATACAGTTCAACTTTTAAAGAGATCAATTTTATTCATACTTGATTTTAGCTTTCCGCCTTGTCATATAGGCGTAACAGTTAGTAAAAATATTAATAAAATCCGGCGATCTCACTTGTTTTTGTATATAAAGAAAACTTACATCCGCCCTTGCTATGTAATTTATCTTCGTGCTAAATCTTGTTCAGATTCGATTATCCGTTTTGTCGTGAAAAGATAACAGGCATACGGATAAATATACATCCTTTTGCACTTAGTATTTTATAAATTAGTATACTTATAAATTAGTATAGATTTAACAATATCACTGGATGAAACAATTTAATAATTATACACGGTCATACAGACAATTGAGGTTGTCTTAGTTTAATTAGCACGTCAAAGTGCAAGTTCATCAGTTTTAAATGGCCGGTCAGAATAATCTCTATGTATAGTTTAATACTGGTATATTAATATTAACATGTTGTTCTGACGTTTCACGTCGTACATAATGTACTTACCGATAAAAGCACAAAATTTTAACGTTTATTCAGACATTTTTACGTGAATATTTAATAAAGGAACGTTCGGTTCCGATCACGGATATAAATTATATACTTTATGTAGTATGTCAATTTTGACGTCCAGTTATTGAAACTCGTCACTATGAATTAAATAGCGATAAACAACATGTAACATTTATCCTTACTAATATTATAAATGCAAAAGTAACACTGTCTGTTTGTAGACCCTGAGAAAAGACAAAGACTACGTTTAATATGAAAAGAGTTTTGTAAAGGAGAAATGGAAGTTTGAAATTGTTTGTTTCTTTGGATTGAATATTGAATATTTTTCTTTATTTGATCAAAATTGCGGACGAAGTCGCGGGCACGTCTAGTTTAAAATAAAATATACCGCCACTACTCCTATGCGAGTTGCTTAGTTAGATATATAGTTAAATGTCGATTGCTGAATACATTTGAATCCAACGTCCCAGGTAGTAGCCTACCGTCGGCTCTCAGATTAACTTTTGATTTGTTATTACTGTTCCGTTCACCGAAGTCAGTCGAGGTAGATATTGAATTGTGGTTGTAAAATCTCAGTCTCACTTATTTTAAGATAAGATAAGTTTAGGATAAGAAGCACTATTAGTCATGCATAAGCGGCACGGGAGTCACATGATGGCGAGATGTTCGTAGTTCTGTTACATAATATAGGCGACAGTTACCACCTACCATTAGTAGATATTAGCTTATTAGTACTAGTTAAACCATTCTAATTACATAAAATGAAATGTTTTTAACAGCATAAAGATTTTTGGTATCAGCCAGAATTGTACTCACAACAAGTATAAGTCAGGGAACTAAAACACTGTACCGCCACGTTCTCAGTCATATATATTTATTTAATGATATCAAAAGTAATTTGTTATCGTATGTTTCCACATTTTGTTACAGTGACCGACTTCACGACACAATTGTCGCAACTTTACGAGCGCCACTCTTCTGAGCTGCAAGTCCTCGTCGCCAACTTCCGCAAACGGAGCAGCGAACTTAGGAAAGAAAGGTCAGTACACTTTGTAGTTATTATACAGAAACTACTTCACAAATATTCTCACTACAGATATAAGAAAATTTATAATACTTACAAAATACGATTATTACATATCTAAGAATAAGATATGTAATAAACATTATATCTACATTTCCGTGTAAATCTGAAGAATGTTTGTTTGGTTGCGCTAATCTCAAAAACTGCTTGGTCGAAAGGAAATCTTTTAATTATAATCTCATCATATAAAATTTTTCGTCGAAGAGCCTAAGCTATAGACTATAAAGTATAACGCCTTATTTTCGTATTTAAAAAGTTGAAAACTATGGTACCTCTCATATGTTGCCATTCTAAAGGATTACGATGTCATACCTCTGCCTCCTTTAAAATACTCTTCAACCGAAACTCATCTTTAAAGCAATCAGCCTGGCCGTTAAAATAGACAAGACAGAGATAACTATGCAAGTTAGTCATCAACGGTATATGACTATACACTTAAAATTGTAATTTATAAACATTCCTAAAGTAATAAGTATATAAAACACTCATAAACTTCGGTAACGAAAGTTATATCTAACTTGTTCTATGAATAATATTTCAGTGCAACGGAAACTGCTTTTTAAATGATCCTAACTTTCTTTACCGCCTTATTTAATATTAAATGTGAACATAAGTATGTTTGTTATCTTTTAGGGACTTAGTTTGTTATATTTGCGTTTGGGACGGAAACAATATAATGTACTCTATCCTATTCAAACAATATGTCCCCGGCACATAGCTGAACTTTCGAGTGAAACTAGTTTATAACGTTTTTTTTATTTAATTTAACAGGTAGGTTTTAATGAATTACTAATTTTGTTTGCACAAAGTTAGTAGTGAAAGTTCCTTTTATAGCGAGTATTGTATCGGTTTATTGTCACTATGTCCGCTATGCATTAATGTTTAAACTCTAAACTAACTAACTAAGAGAAACCTAACGATAACTCAGTTAATAAACTTATAAACCTTTATGCAATATTTATCCAATAATTTCAATATTCATTAGATTGGGTTATTTGAATTTAATTAGATACTTAATAAATATTTAAATCGTTTATTAATTTATTTTAGTAAAATATTTATTACACTTCTATATATATATTCTATATATATCTATATATTAAGATATTGTCTTTTAATGTCTTAAATTAATTAAATGAAATCCATTTAACTGTGTTATACTTCTTCGACAACAAGTAAACAAAACCTAGAAATGTATCAGTAAATACACAATTATTATTATTAGTAATAGCGATACGAAGACTTTCGCTCCAATAAGTAAACTAATAAGTTTATCCCTCGATCTATCAATGCGCTAAAGCATTATATATCGCTTACATGCTTCGATAAATATTTTATGCTAACGTTCACAAACATTAGCACACACTTTAGGTACAAGTTTATACGTAGGTACTGATAGGCACTGAAGTATTTACACGTGTATGAAGTCGTAGACCAATTATTAATTTCATTTCACTTACAAAATTACTATTGCAATATAAATATGTAATAATATACTCGGCCTCGATGGTCTAGCGGTTTATGACACAGCTTTACTTCCGATCGTCGCAGATTCGATTCCCGCATGGCACAAACATTTGTATTCATGAATATGTATGATTGTTTGTATCTGTTTTGGTGTTTACTATGTATCATATGTAAAAACTATGTTAATTTATGTTTTTGTATCAGTTGTCTAATACCCATAACTCAAGTTCTGCATGCTTTTCTGCCTAAATATTATTATACTAGTAAGTTAAAGCATGAATAGATACAAGTAGAATATAATGTGCAAGATACTGTTAAAATAGGATGCTAAGTACTTTATTGTACTCGAGATTCTTTTACATAAAACGAAAAATAAGGAATCGAGACAGAATGGAATTCAATAAAATATTATATTATTAAATCAATAGATTATTCATATAGTATATTTTTTATTTATCTGTAATCAGTGACTCTATGTGACGAAACACTTTAATTTGTATGGATACAAAAAATCAAAAATTTAAATTTAAATAGTCTTTTGTATCTGCAAAAAAAAACGCATTCACTGGGAATATGGTGACCGTGTGTCTACTGAATATTAATGATTTTGTGTCATTAATATTCCATCGAATCACGGTACCGTACATTTCATGGTCTTTGTTATGAACTTCTTGAAATGTTTGCTCTGCATATATTTTATAACTCGCGGTTTATATTGTTTTGTTTATGTAACTATATTTTTGCCATGTCATATTTTGACCGTAAGAACAAATAAAAAATGTATATGTTATTACCCTGGACACTTTACATAGCGTAGTTAGTAGTTCCAAGCTAAGCAGAGCCTGTGTTTTGGATGTTAGACAAGTGATAGAAATACTTAAAAAAAGTAAACACCAAGTTCAATTCTTGCATGAAGTAAACCATTGATACAAATGTTTATTTCATGCAAGAATTTAACCCGCGTCTATCGGAAGTAAGGTATGCTAAACTACTAGACAACCGATGCAGAAATGATGTTAATAAAATTTAACACGAAAGTAAATTTATTTTACCTCAAAACAAGCAAGCATACAAAGTAATGAGTGGCATACAGAAAAAATAATTGCCTTATGATACATATCTAAATATAACTATTATCCTCAAATATGTAATAATATGTTTTTATTAAAGTGACCTACATAAATCAATAATGAAAATTATTCTCAATGAAGGTAAGAATCAATATAAAAGATGTCTACTCCATTATCTCGCAAATTGAAAAACAATAAACCGTCCTTACCCAATGTAGACAGACTTGAAAAGGCGAATTGTTCTCGAATTTTAAACATTTGTTCTGCTTTCAATGCTTTGAAGTTTTGAAGTTTAAGAATATTTAATTAATTTCATTTTTCATTATATTTAAAACATACTTTGTGTTGTCTTTACATGTCTACTGCATATAATAATTATTGTATACTATACAACAATTATTGGATAATCTAGTCAAAAGAATAAAATATCTGTACGTAAAATAGAAAGTCAGTTACTTTTTTATTTTACTTACATATATATATTTTATCGCCGTAATGCATGGAAGATATATGAGAAAAGTTATTATTGAACAACTTTATCAACGTAACAGAGCCTAAAATAACGATTTTTTGGTCTGTTTTTTTCGGTACGACTATGTCTCTACTCTCAGAAACGGCTTACTCGATTTAAGTATAGCTTTCACTTTGTATTGAGTCAAGCTTCACTTAAATACGCACAAACAAATTTGTTTTCTTTAGTTAAATTGGTTCACATACAAAAATTTTAATCCGGTACGAAGTCGCATGTTCAGCAATAAATTTGTCTGAAAGATAAAAGTTTATAAAGTTGTGGGTTTGTGATAAACATCAGTCATAGGCATAGTTAAGGAAATAATAATGTCTAATTTTTAGAAAATGTTATAAAAATTACATCTTTATCATTTTCGCTGATAATTTTTATCTTTATCATAAGAGTCTGTAAAAGACTTTCAGGAATAAAGATATTTAGATTTGATTTGTATGTTTTAATCTTCAGAGTACTTTCAAAACAGTAATATTTTAATCAACAGTAAAAGCATTATTTCTAATATAAATTTACAATACATACAACAAGTGAATTCAATATCATGGATAACAAAACAAATAACACAGTTTTGGTGCAATTACTAAAAAAAATGTATAATAGTCTTTTTATCTGCAAAAATTTGTTCAAAAGTTGCATTAAATAAAATATTTCATAATTACGCCCTTTACAGAAAAGAATTGGCTTTGTTCATGAATTAATCCCAATTAGATACTTTACATTGCTATAAATGTCGAAAATTCAAAACAATTCCTTTTGAAACGGTTAAAATTTCATTGACAAAGTTTATCCACTTTATGCGAGTATCGAATCCCCGAAACAAGGAAAGTTTACAAGAAAAGATGTTCGTATAATTTATAATGCCTTAGGGACTCTAGCCCTACAACTGTTCAAAATTATGCCGATACCCTCGAAAACTTTGAGACATTTTACATATCGTTGATAAGTCGATTAGATAAAAATGTCCACCTTAACTTACGGGCTTATTTAATTCAGTGCACTTACTTAAATTAAGATCACTCATTAGTTATTGAATGAGTGATATACCAACACCTAAACCGTGGCGCTGACCGTGTGAATATGGATAATATATAACATGTGTCATCATCGTCATTGCTTCGCCTTTATACGATCCTGTATGTTATCTTTCACCACTGCTCGGCCGTTATAGCTGAGCTGATTCATAAATATATCGTATATCGTATATATATATCTTTCATAAATATTATCTTTCACACAGTCCATGCATCTTTTTTACTTTAGTCCTCTCCCTTCACTTCTGATTTCTCAAAGATTCTTATATCTCAGAATATATAGAAATCTGACTTTCAGAAGTCAGATTGTGTCATAGTTCAGAAATTTAATATTTATCTTATTTTTATTAACTCAAGTTAAATAGAGATATCACTATAATGATCAGATAATCACCTCGGTCCTCGGGAATACAAGCGTATACTTAATAATAATACCGCATATTTAATAATAAAATAATAATGAAAAATTCACACAGAGTCATCTAATACCAAACAATTTTTTTTATAAATACATATATACATAATATTTCTCGAAATGTCCAAGCCAATACAAACAAACATACATATAAATACAAATATTTGTATCGTGCGCAAATCGAACCCGTGACCATAGATATTAAGGCGGTCTTCTGAATCACTAGATCACCCATACTAGTTATTTCGTTATAGTTTTTTTGTCTGTTATATTGTACTCTTCAAACTGGAATCTATAAATTATTCAAGTAAACTATTTAGCAGTGATACTAATAGGTAAATGGCTTTATATATTACTTCCCTTAAAATCTACATAAACCCTTTAAAGGGTGAAATTTTCAAAGAAAAACTGTCGTTACCAACGTGTTAAAAAGAACACATTAGCGA